ACAACGAGGAGCAGGTCACGTCGCAATCTTACACCTCTTTTAAACTCAGAGAGAAAAAAATATATAACGAAGGAAATAAATCTGAACTTGAACGTTTTAGTAAATATAAATGCTGAAAAAAATGTCTGAAACTTGTTGACTCAAATTACAAGAAACGACGATTTAATACTAAAATAATCCAGAAATTACATATACATAAATAGGTATTATGAAATCTTATAATATGCCCCAATTGCAGATGAGTCACGGTGTACGAGAAAGAGGATAATAAATTTACATAATGAAAATGTGCATAGATGCTGATGAAAATTCTTGTTTTAAGTATTTCCATAATTGCTTTGAGATATATGTTCAAAAAAAGAAGTTTTGAAATAGTTCTGCTTTCATTACGCTAGTCTACAAAAAATAATGTACATTTGACAGCTCTGTGAACCTGGAACCCGAGTTTACGATATTTTGGTTTTATTAGTACCATTCGATAGAGAATCGTTTTTACTCGTTTGTACCTCAGGACATAAAGAATAAAAAAATTTTGAAAAATTGCCGGAACCCCACTTTTTGATATTCTAATTTTATTAATACCATTAGGTAGAGAATCGTTTGTACCCGTTTGTACCACTTTCGATTTCGTTTGTATCTCAACTGGTTCCAAAATACAGCGATTTTTTGATTTTTCAGAATACCGCTGAAAGTGTGTATTTCCGTTATTAATAGAGATATTGGAAAACGGTCGATGGAATTCGATAGAGAATCGTTTGTACCATTTTTGTTTTTGTTTGTACCTCAACCGATTCCAAAATACAGCGATTTTTTGATTCTTCAGAATATCGCTGAAAGTGTGTATATCCGTTATTAATACAGATATCGCAAAATGGTCGATAGAATTCGATAGAGAATTGTTTATACCCGTTTGTACCACTTTTGTTTTCGTTTGTACCTCAACCGATTCCAAAATACAGCGATTTTTTTGATTCTTCAGAATATCGCTGAAAGTGTGTATATCCGTTATTAATACAGATATCGCAAAACGGTCGATGGAATTCGATAGAGAATCGTTTGTACCCGTTTGTACCACTTTTGTTTACGTTTGTACCACTTTTGTTTACGTTTGTACCTCAACCGATTCCAAAATACAGCGATTTTTTGATTTTTCAGAATACCGCTGAAAGTGTGTATTTTCGTTATTAATACAGATATCGCAAAACTGTCGATGGAATTCGATAGAGAATCGTTTGTACCATTTTTGTTTTCGTTTGTACCTCAACCGATTCCAAATTTTACCTTGTTTTGATTCTTCAGAATATAGCTGAAAATGTGTATCTCCGTTATTAATACAGATATCGCAAAACGGTCGATGGTATTCGATAGAGAATCGTTTGTACTCGTTTGTACCACTTTCGTTTTCGTTTGTACCATCCGGTTTTGTAATTTTTTTACAATCGGTGACTCCACTTGATTTATTGTGGTGAAAAAGTGAAAGTTGAAACTATGTAAAAGACAAAGTCAACGTTAACAGGCCTAACAGTTTGGAAATTTTAAAAAACGGTATTAGAAATATAATGGCTGATATCTCACCAGAAATTCTTAGCAATGTAATGGAAAACTTTACCCAACGGCTCTACTTCTGTCAAGAAGTTGATAGACGGCACTTTAAACATCTTATTTAGCGTTGTGGTCCAGATTTTGTAAATGTTGATAATGTTTAAATAGCAGTTGAACAGCGGATAAACTATCAACATTAACCCTGACGCCATTTACGACACACGGCACTCAATCTGGTAAAAACAGAAGTTGCTAAATACAAAAATAAACTAAACTAAAAGGAACACCAATTTTAAAATCTTTGGTTGTACTATCAACATTAATTAGAGAAAGAACAAATGGTTCTAATATTTTAGTACCACGTTTGTCAACGTTGTACCACGTTGTTATTAAATTTTTGAGGTAACTAGATTCAATAGACATTTACATTTTTAGCTTTTTTCCTTATTTACCGTTAATTAGATAATGTTTTGGTAAAAGTAATTACACTCTCGAATGCAGAATAAAATTATCTTCAATGATATGAATTTTCGATGTCAATTTTGACAAAAAACACTTGTGTAGGTTTCCTTATAAGGTGAGGCCGCTTGCGACTAAGCAGCTACAATGTGTTTTGTGTTGATATGGTATAAATTGTAGTGTAGAATCTATGGTAGAATAGCATAGATGCATAGATACTATGTACTAGTAGAATTGTGCAATAGCAGTTACCTACCCATTCGTAACGTCATCAACGGATCGTTGGGGTGCACCTATTCCCAGGATGTAGCAGTCCTCTTAGACTCTACCGTCCTTGAATCTTACTCCCTAAACGCACCTTAATGATAAGCAATAGTCAGGAAACCCCCATCTTATGTCAACGGTATTCGCACCGCGTTATTTTGTTCGCACCATACCTTCAGTTTATTAACGTTTATGTTTAGAGGAGACATTTACAACTACGACAAACCCCTTACCTTGCCACTGAAAAAAAGCTGCTCCAAGAGTAGTATAGCAATGGGGATTCCGTCACAGAGTTGTCATCGGATGGCACCTGAGGGTTTATCACTCGTTAGGGTGAGTTCTTCAGCAGCGCAAGGGGTAGTAAAGGAATCAATGGTCAATTCTGTATGAAATATGTCTCTATATACAGGGTCCGGCAGTGAAAAGGAAAGATTTGAGGTAGGGTTTACAGCACGCCGCGAAGTGATGGGGAAGAAAGTAGTCGACTTGCCAAGACCTGCATGATTTGCCATTTAGTTTACAATGAAGCGTTGGACGGGTGAGCATCGCGGTTACGCAGTTACCGCGATGCCAGTTAGTTTTTCAAAATGGTGAGACTTCGTCAAATGGATGCCATTTGATTATTCAAATCGATTGTATCATACATAGCTGTCAAGCCTACAAAGGTCACAAAGGTATTTGGTTTGAGGCATCTTTGAAAGCCTGTTTCGATGTGTGTGCTAAAGTTAAATGATGAATTTAACGGTCCTGAATAGATAAAAATCCAGTCAGTTTTTATACTTTTTGTGAAAAAATCTGCAGTTCGCTTGGTTGAATTACCGTGCTTAAAACCAAAAGGAGAGGTATGGCGTGGAACAGGAATAGAAAAATTTATGGAGCATCTTTTTAAAGATTGAAAAAATAACCAAAAAAAGGATTTTTGTATATATTAGAATATCTATACCAACATTTGATTATATACTCCAGAAAACATTCAGTCGTTTAGCATTGAAGGGGCTAAGTCTTCAAGTTACACCAGAAAAGACACTAATCTTAACGCTTTAGTATGTAATAAAAGACAACAATTAACTCAAAATACATTTTATCGCTACTGCTATTTAGAAGTGTTTGAATTTTTAGGATTCTAAACCTGAAAAGTCGTGTTTGCTTTTGAGCTATATAAATTATGTTGGATCTGTTGTTGTAGTTATATCAGTGCGGAGCTCTAATGTTTTTAAGCCATCCAAGTGGTCAACGAAGATCTTAAATTAAAAACGAAGTGCTTGATAGACTTAAAAAGAATTGATAATCATATCCCTTGTCTTCTTTTTCTATGTTTAATATGGCATCAATCCTTTTTCTTCTAACTCAAATATTCTTTTTTGGACATCGTCTTTTTTCATTATGGCAGTCAAGAAACGGTGTGCAGGGTGGTCGGAAAAACGCTTCAACATCTTCTGTTATGATGAAATCTTCTTGCGTAAAAGGAGGTTCCAGATTTTGGGTTTTGAGCTCGGAAAAATGACGTCCTCTATTAAAGTTTTAAATTTTTTTTCTACCTGGAAGAGTCCTTCAGGTTTTCCCATTTTTTCTTATATTCATCTGCTAGAACTTAAAAATGTTAATGTATTTGTTTAAAAAGTGTGTTTTCTTATAGATTTCTAGCTACGAGAGCCAACTTGAGACATCTAGCTTTCAAATTTGGAGTTAGAAGACAACATGATTAACATGATTATTTATGACACATATTCAGCGATTATATGAGAGTCGGGACCTGAAGCAATGCCCCGTCTCACGAAAGAGCTCCTTCAGATTGTCTCCAGATATACGTTTATAGCAATTTCCGAACGGTATTGGAGCAATTGATGAACGCCATTGTGCATTGAAATATCCTCCTCACAGTGGATCAAGTTATTTTGACTATCTAAAATACTTTTCGACAATGATAATAAGCAAAGTGGAGTAGGAATCTTTACGGCCATTGAGTTGTTCTGGCTACTGATTTTAGAGAATTATGGCATTATGATAATTATTGATTATGATTATATTATTGATTTGGACAGTGCTTCCACCACACCGCTGCTATAGTATCTGATCATATTGACTTATCGTCTTTGTTTTATTGTGTGTAATATGCAGTCATTTCTGGATAAGCAATTATCTACTACTCTTTCAATCTAAGTTTTGGTGTTGTTCTATAATGTGTTGGGATCTTCCGAGTATTCTGATTTTGGTATTGTTTCTAGTTGATTTTGCAGCTGCTCCGTCTTGTTTGTAATTTACCTTAAAATGTATCTTTCGCTTCTAAATAAAAACCCTTAAGCGCCATGTCATGTCCATAATACTATAGATACGGCGTGCGTCATCACCGCGTCATGCTTAGCAACAACTATTGTCTACTATTGTAAGTGTAGGTTTGTTTACAGTGACTATGATGCGGTTATGACGTGCGAGAGCCAATTCGTTCACTGTGTGAGCATACCTTATATTCATCTAGCTTGCTTTAGATTTTGTTTTGCACCTCGAATAGATTCTTGAAGTAAAATATCAACGTCATTAGTTCAGTTTGATTCTTTCGAGTTTGTAAATACACCGTTTGATTATCAAAGTCAAAGTTATAGTTTAGAATTAGGTACTCCAGCAGAAGTAGCAAAAATCGAAAATCGTTTAAGAGATCGTGTAACTTCTGAACGACTTGTCTGATTGAACTCATCTATAGACACCATATTGTTGAAAAAAGAACAGCAAAAAAATGATAACAGACGCCACAGAAAAAATAATATCATGGCAATAAAACCTGAATCGCAATGAACTATTAAAACAATACAAAAATATCTCTATTAATAAACGTAAAGACATGCCATTATGAAGTATGTGCCATTGACTTTGACACGTTAATTCAAAAAATAAAAAAAATCAACAAATACTTCTTAAAAAATGATTAGGGTGTATAGAAAAAAGTTGTGTCCTACGAGAGATACGGAAGAAATAAAGAAAGCAAGAATGAAAATATTGCATAGAGCAATAATCGGTTCTGATGCTCCTGTAAGATAAAATTAATTAAACTAAGCACATTAATTATTATATTTGTTTAGTATAACAACCAATTTGTTGAGTTAACCATGGTGGAATACATTACGTTAATAATAATCCTTGAATGCAGCTTGGGAAACATTGTTTTATTTGTTGAGATGGTAGTTAAACATGGACCGTGTAAGTAAAATATTCTTGATATTATTTATTTAACTTATTTTAATCATCTTTTTAGTTTTCGTGAGTCTTGCGTATATTTTAGTAACAATCACAGTTACAATGCCGTTTCACATGCTTCTAATGTTTTTGGGAAGTTATTCGAAGCAAAGTTTTATTACCATGTTTTCTTGCGCTCCGTTATTTGAAGGTTTAGGTTACGTCGTGGCGTGGATTCGCCTCACCGCCGAATTGTACAGTTGTTCGACAGCCGCAACAGCCTTATTAGTTTTCTACCATTGCCTGACCAGCCAATTCAAAGCTACATTTTGTAACGGAGTAATTAAAGCTTCTCGTCAAGGAGTAATTTGTCTACCGGTCCACATAAACCACGTTCGCAATTACACTTGTTCGTCTAAATCTTTGATCAGACATTATTCTGCAACTCAATATTATATAAAGTTAGGTTTTTGTTATTTATTTGTTTTTCTGATTTTTAATATTTTCGTTTTTAGGAAAAATGTATTGAATTATGGGTTACTGAAACATTCCACACTCCCGATTGTGAATAAACCACTTTTAGCGTTCCAATTTGTAACTTGGCTCTTAATATTTATATTATCTTTGCATGGTATAAAACGACTAAAGAGTATGACGATTAATCTATATTTTGTGATTACATTCGTGATGCTTTTGTCGATTTTCATATCGCTTTTTCATAATCACGATATGGTTCATGTCAATAGAGCCGTGCTGTTTGGACTGAGAACAAATTTCTTTACATCCGATGTAAGTGATTTATAATTATTAAAACATATAAGTTTCAGGAGATTTTAACAATAAGTGTTATTACTAATACAACTAGATATTTCTGGGTTATACTATTTATTTCAGCAATGTTTGATGTTTCTTGTGCCATATTGTAACCTTCTTCAAAAGCAAATTAAGGTAATAGCAAAAATTTTAATAGAAGACATTAACGCTAAGATGAGAAAAGAAGACCTCTATAATGAGAACAGACTCATTCTATTTGCAGTGTCAAGAAATATGGTACCTACCATGCAGAAACACAAGCAAACACACAAAATTATGTGGAAATCGCCCAACTTGATGTTCAACCAAATCGATCACTGCTTCGTACAGGCGAGGCATAGCTCCAACACATTGAATATAAGTTCATTAAGAGCCGGAAACATTTATTCGGATCATTCCCTAATAAGGGCGAAAGTAAGATCTCGAATGTCAAAAAAAAGCAAAGCACATATCGCCAGAACTCAGCCTTGATCAGAGGTCAAGCCATGAAATCAACGAGAAGCAGGGATGATAGGTTTGATCAAGACTGCAGAGCGGCGTCTAGCGCAAAGAACGTGGTGTACCGATAGCTTCATCTGAGAAAAACAATACTAGAAACACTGTATAAAGAGAAGAGGCAACAGGAAAAGAAAATACATACAAAGAGAAAGAAGAAGTATGCGAACAAAAGGATCCAAGAAATGGATAGCCTTACGCTGGAGAGAACTTCCAGGTCATAAACAGACAAAGAGTATGATACCTCAGGAAAGGGGATCGTCTAAGGTTGCTCTTAGGCTTCCTGACCGGCATTGCGCCTCTAAAATACCACCTCTTCCCTATTGGACAAGCCGAAGATCAAACTTGTCGACTTTGTAATTACTGCTGAACATATACTGTCTGAATGCGTTGCCAGACGCCGCCTAAGACACAAAATATTCGGTAGAGTTTGCCTGACACCTACCGACATAAAAGAACAAGACCTTGGAGTAATACTAAGGTTCATGAAGGACCTACATTTACCCTAAACCTTTAGAGGGTTTAACTTACAATAGATTTTAAAGATCGTGGTGACGTTAAGGAGCGCTCCCCTCAGCCCGGCAGCAATAATAATAATAAATAATAATAAGAAATGGTGAGGTCAGAAAATTTTATCAAACGTTAAACCGTGTGAAAAAAAGATTATGCTCAGAAGCGCTATGTGAAAAGATAAGGGAGAGAACATATTAAACGACTCGACGTAAAATTACAGTGAAATTGGAACTCTTCGAACAGTTACTAAATAAAGAGGGGATAGAAGGAATTACAAACAGTCTATAGACGGTACCTTTGGGAACGTCTATAGACTGTTACAAAAGACAGAACAAAATCCAAAAAAATTCGAGAAAGTAAAGCTGCAATAAAAAACAAAAAAGTAACGAGAGTGCACGTTCAGACGAGATAAAGGCCGAACTGATTAGGGGGTAGGGTAATGTTGGCTAGAGAAGTCTGGACACTCATATCAATGATATGGCAAGAAGAAAGGCTTCCAACACAATATAACAAGAGTAATCTGCCTGTTACACTAAAATTGGGAAAATTACAGAGCCCTTGCTTAACGAACCTATAAATTGTACACGACTATACTGGGAGAAATAATGAAGCCATTCACCGAGAGTATGTTAGGGAACTACCAAGTGGGCTTCCAAGCCGAATGATCTACTCGCGATCTACTAGGATGAGTGGTCCTCCTTAAAGCAGCTCGCAGTTCATCACTATCAATCTCTGGTACCTCCTACGAGTCCACATTAAAGATGATCAACGTCTTATCCTTTACTATGTTGTCCAGCTTTGCAGCTTTTCACCGTGCGGTATAATTTCACTGCGACCTATCTTTGCGTAGAAGTCTCCCATAATGACAACAAACCAGGCCCTGGCCGCGCTCCTCACGACGCTTACGTCTTTGTTCGTCTTTAGTAGCGCTTATCGATGCGTAAGTAGGCTTGGATACATTTTTCAGGGATTCATCATCGGACGAACTGAACTTTTCTTATTAATATTCATTTCATAGTACAGTATTTCATTGAGATTAATTTATGTTTTATGATAAGTTGTTTATAACGTTCTGAGTAAAGAAAATCTCAGGAAGTTAATCCACGTAAATCCCATCACTTTTTATGTATATGTATAATAAGATCTCATAAAAACGAAATTTCTTCTCTCTAGTCACTAGGTTACATATACAGGGTGTCTCACGTAACTGGTTCGTTAGAACTTTTTTAGGTTCCACTATTCATAGAGGTTTGAAATTTTGGTAGCATGGGTTGTTCATTCTAAACTTTCAATCTAAAATATTTTCAAGATGGCCACCACTTCCGGTCTACCGGAAGCAGACCACAACTTCGTTATTTTAAATGGAATGCTATAGTTTTTATTACACTTTTCAATTATACATAAAAAAAATATGTTGACTTTGATAAAAGTTGTTGGTACCTACCATTTTTTGTTTTCGAGTTATTTTCATTTTAAGCTTTTTTTGGCAAATTTCACCATGCTCTTTAAAAGCCTATATCTCAGTTAACGTTCATTAAAAAAAACCTCTAAATTGGCACGATTACTCTTCAGATGTTGCCAAATAGATTGTCATTTCTTGTATCAGAGTATCTTATACAGGGTGGTCATGGGATATTGGGACAACAATAACACAAATATGGACCAAAAACTGTCAAAATTCCATTGCCTTCTAATAAAAAAATCAAACGTTTTCCCACATTCCGTGCATGCTTTGATTAATGTCCCAATATCAGGGAAACTACAATAAATAGGTATAGGAATGTTTATAGATAATTTGTAGAGAATTAAATTCCCTTTCTGATAGGGTAAAAAAATACGGGGTATTCCATTTAAAATTTTCGACTTTCTAGCTATTGAATATGGAGAAACGGTAATTCAATTTTTGACCACCCTGTATAAGATACTCTGATACAAGAAATGACAATCTATTTGGCAGCATCTGTAGAGTAGTCGTGCCAATGCAGAGCTTTTTTGAATGATCCTTAGCTGAGATATGGGCTTTTAAAGACCATGGCGAAATTTGTCAAAAAACACTTAAAATCAAAATAACTCGAAAACAAAAAACGGTAGGTACCAACAACTTTTATCAAAGTCAACATATTTCTTTACGTATAATTGAAAAGTGTAATAAAAACTATAGCATTCCATTTAAAATAACGAAGTTGTGGTCTACTTCCGGTAGACCGGAAGGGGTGGCCATCTTGAAAATATTTTAGATCGAAAGTTTAGAATGAACAACCCATGCTACCAAAATTTCAAACCACTACGAATAGTGGAACCTTAAAAAGTTCTAACGAACCAGTTACGTGAGACACCTGTATATATATATATATATATATATACATATATATATAGGTTACATAGTCAATTGATAAAATTAATGGACAATCTTGGTGTTGAAGTCAACGGCATAGATTTTCTGTTTTGATTACAAGCAGACAGAAAAGAATCACGTTTAAGGCGACCACAAAAAAGTACCATAATAAATCTAGGAATACGATTTTGGAAATTACAAATGAGAGATACAGCAAATGGTATCCACATGCTACATATTAAATCCCACTTGAGAAGCAAGTGCAGCAAGCACTTTCAGTAAATTTATGACGAAGTTACTGTTCTAAATCATAATCACGAGATATAAGATACGCTACTTGCTCACGCAAACAACAATTTTCCGCCGTCGGATTTATCGATAATACATTATTTTAATTCAACTCATTTTTTATGCTCATCATTTAGCTCAGAAGTTAACCTAATCAAGGTGTTCATCTTACTTGAACGTAGTTCAGATTCCATATCTCTGACCATCTCATAGATGGGATTCTAGGGTATGAGCAGGAGCGAGGTGCTTCCTACCTCGCTTGCTGGATCTATAATCATAATACTTCCGGGTCTCTATATACTTTGAAGGCAACTCGTTCAATATTTTGTTTGATATAGCGCTTGATGATTAACAAAATGATTACTTCAAAATACTTCTCAAGCCTATATTAACATCCCCACAAAGAAAGGAGAAAACACGTCTGCAAACCTTCAACTCTCTGCATCACCTGTATAGTAGTTACCTTTCCTTTGGAAACCCATATTGTTCATTAGGTAGACCTTTTTCCTGCTTAATTTCTTTATGAACCCTTCCTCTAGTTATTAGTTCGAACAGTATATTCAACTTAATGTGCATGCAAATTTGTCTTGTTGCCACGCTTTTTTTCAGTCCTTCCAAGATCCAAGAAAGAACTTCTCTTTAAGCATGCATTGTACAGATAGACCCAGTTCCTCTATGTCTATTAACGGAAGTCGTAATTCTATAACATCTCTTCTGCCAATATTCTCCTAAGCTTTACAAGTAATTGATTTAACTTCTTAATCTCGTTTCTGAATCATTTATAGAGTACTATATCTCGATAGCTCTCTTTTAAGCCTAATTTTTTCCACTAGTACACTACTTAGTCGACAGTTAAGCATAACCTCGATTTAGCACACCACCTCTTTCTTACTGCGCGTGTACTACTTATTTCATGCCTAAGTAGTTTTGAGCGTAATATTTTTTATTATTAACACTTTATTGGTGTGTAACTAAAATGATTGAAAGTGATTTAAAACTGACGATTGCCGCCAAAATACTAAATGCTTGTCACATAGTCAAGCAATTGAAAGTAGTGTTATTTATTTGTCTATGTAGAAAATTAGTAAATCTATCAAAACTTACAAATCTCTTAAGTGTAATTTTAACAAAATAGCTACGATATAACCAAAAATTTTATAAATTATATTAATACCTTAAGCTGTATAGTTGAATTCACAAACTATAGCATATTTTATTTATTTGTTGTTTTCATTATTTCAGTTTTGGTCAGACATATTTTTATATACTGTGAGACCAACCGGTTTTGGATATATAATCTGGCTGTCAACGATCAAACCAAAATCGATAGACACAAAATTTGCAATTATTTTAGCGTCGCATATAAAAATTGTCATTTTCTCGTTCATCGCCTGTACAAGTTCTTTAATATGTCAAGAACTCCTGTATCATTTGAAACTCGTCAATTCAAAATGTCTAGTAATTACCGGTAAGTACTTTTTATTTATTTAATTTTTTCTTCATTAGTACTTTATTTTAATTATTAGTTCTACGACCGAATTCATAATCAACTAGCTAAAGTGACTTATACTAAATTACTTTTAAAATAAAAATACAAGCTAATAGTTTATAAAATAAAGTCTCTAACACTTCTTATGAAATCCAGCACCACACCATATTACACTTTTTGGTTGGCGTCTTTTACAGATTGCTACTGATTTGCGGTTTCATTGGCAGAACACCATAAACACCTACACTTAGCAAAAATACAAATTGGGTGCTATGACCATCGATTATCTGTGTCATTGAATTACAGTTGATGTAGTGGAGTTACGAGATCGACCAACAATAAACAGCTTGAGCTGTTGTTTATGCAAAATTTATTTTCCTGCGTCGTGACAACACATCGTTAATTAATTGATGTAAGTGTTAAGTCCACCGACTAACCTTTTGCACGAGCTATATAAATTTAAAATTACAAACAAATCGGGGATGATTTTTTATGGAATAAAGCAGTTATGGTATTACCTGCTCAGACACCAATCAGCAGTACATTATGAAAACGAGCGCTACAATATGGTGCTCTAGAGTACTTTCACAAAATCAACAGTGATTTGAATCCGCTTTTGCACATTTTGGGAAGATATGCTTCGTAGATGCTGTTGCTGCTGATGGGTTACACTATAAAGTGATACATTCGTCTCATTTTCCTGTTAATCTTGGCAATGACTGATACATGCTGCATGATGAACTACCGCGGAGACGATATTCTGACGATCAAATCCAACAATATGGAATCGACTTTCGACGGACTTCTCTTTAACATCTGTACCTCATGGTACAGCTCGGCAAGAAAAAAAATTTTGCCTCTGGCTTTCTCAAGCAGGACCAGAACGCTCTAACTAGAAAATACGATGGCATGTTCACATATAAGATCACTGGTTCAATCAATTCTACGCTAAGGCTGTACTACAGCCTCATGATCTGGGTACTACAACAAATTGCAGTACGAGATACTAGACTTCGGAAATAGTTAAGGTGTATGTGTGCAACGAATCCCAGCTCCTTCACAATAACAAGAATCACTTGCCTTGTATAATATAGTGTGTTGAGGGAAGGAATATCATCAAATTATCGCAATTTCCGAGATCATTACCCTAACTAGAGAGTAACATACAATTCAAATGCAAATTAACAGCATATGATATGAATCACCAGATTAAGAAAACCTTGAAGCTGAGAAAACCGAAATCGCTCATTTAACGAGAATAAAATCCCACAAGATATGAAACCCTCTAAATTGCCGATATCGACATTGTTGCCGAAATGGCTACCAAGTATTTCGTTGAGGTTGTCGATAGCAAAGTTATGCTTACCAGTCAGATACAGATAGGGTAGACAAGACCGCACCAGCCGCAATATTTTTATCACTTAATGGCATAATTGGGGAAATAATAGTATCTAAACGCAAATTACTGATACTGCAGGCAACATAGGTAACAGAACTGTGTGAAATCAAAGAACGGGGTTCATACGATTGGTGAAGGAGTCTCGGAAGCAGCATAAAATGCCGATTTCTGGGATGAATAAAACTGAGAAATTTTTCACAATCTACTGAAGACGCACCAAGAAATCCTACCTCTACGTCCCCGTTCGTGTTCCTCAGGAAATGCAAGGCTCTCACTAAGGCGTCTTGAAACTTGAACACATCGGCTAAGTAATGGTAACCCCTATAGAAGAATCTTTGGTCTTCCAAGTTGGGTTTCTTGACGTTGAACAAACCGTAGGCAAAAGATAAAGAAGGCCAAGGCTCTATTTGAGCTGTGGCGCCATAGGAGTGAGAGAGAGGTTGCTTAGAACAGACTGAACTGGGCAGACAAGGCCTGGAAGGAAGAGAAAAACAAAATGAAAACCGTATGTGCCAAACATCACAACACAGATAGGATCAGGATCGGGAGGAATATACATGGCGCTGTTGATCACTGACATCAAATTGTACCGATACTTGAAAACATGATTTTGTAGGATAGGTCGGTGAATAGATTACGTCACATTTTGCGTTATGGCATTGAACATATTTGCTTCATATGGCCCTCCTTGAAGAAATGGAGAATTAGACTTAAAATTATCTTAAATGTGTATACTAAGGAACATACTATGAAATAGTACTATGAAATGCTTTAAAAAAAGAATACTTTGAATACTAGAAATCGTTGGCTACCTTATTTGCAAAGGTATCGAGATTATCAACCTCTATGTTGAGCCCTCTATGTTCTGACTATATTGTTATTAAGAAATCTTTTTTTTTTCTATATTATACATAGCACAACTGTATAACACCTAGTAAATACATACTAATTAGTTACTTATTTTTAACACCGAATTAAACTAGATAATGTTTTGTAGCTTTTCCTAGTGGTCCAGTCTGCTTTACCCATAATAAAATTGATAAATATTGTCATGTTTTTACCGTTTTAAGACCGAAACACAAAACACACTGCGATACGCGGACCACACGTTTAGAGTATTATTGCTTTTGTTATAATTCCGCACTATTGCTCGCGTTTGAATCGACTAGGGCACTAAGTCACTAAATCGAACGGCTTCATCCTCTGAAGGCAACGCAGGACATCCTCGTTGTCGAGAAGCTGAATGGCCTCGATGTTGGGATGATCGTGCATTCTCTTCTCATGTTTAGATGCGAATGATGCAATTTCTGATGACATCGATGCTACTTTCAAGTCGCGATGGAGGTCGGTGTTTCTTATATACCAGGGTGCATTCACTATACACCTTAGTACTTTGTTCTGGAATCTTTGAATCAGACTTGCATTTGTCTTGCAGGTACAACCCCGCAGTTGGATTCCGTGTGTCCATTTTGGTTTTAATACTCGCTTGTATATTAGTAACTTGTTACTTAGTGATAGCGTTGATTTTCTGCCAATAAGCCAATATAGGTGTCTAAATTTGATATCAAGTTCCTCACTTTTTTTTTGACATGAGCTTTCCATTTGAGTTTGGCATCCAGCGTCATATCAAGATATTTTGCGGTGTCGGCGTAAGGGACAGCATTGCCATTTATGTGTACTGGGACATAGTTTACTTTCTTATAAGTAAGGTTTATGTATGTCGATTTATTTGTATTTAGTTTTATTAGCCATCGTTTGGTCCAGTTTTCTATTAAATTTAAGGCCAATTGTAACTTATTTGCTGCAACTACTTCATTTTCTGCAACAGCCAAGATCGCTGTGTCATCTGCGAATCTAGCTGTTAAAGTTTCTGGTACCTGAGGAAGGTCGAATGTGTAGAGTAAGTACAGGGTGGTTCAAATTCGATGTCCGAATAGGCTAACTCGAAAATTATAAGAGTTAGAAGAAAAGTAGCTGACATGTCATGATCTCGTTTTTCGAGAAAGTGCTAATGCCGAAAACCTCATAGCGCTATCGTCTTTTGTTTTTCCGCTAGAGGCCAAAATTGAAAATATCGTAAAACCCGCAAATGTAATTATCTTGGTTATTATTATAGGTGGAGTATTATAACTAAGACATTATATGGACACTTTTTTACAGAGAATTTGATGACGTTGTCAAAAAAATGTTGTCGGTTTTAGAATTTGAGATATTATCACAATGTTCGTTTTTTTAAATGGAAACAACCACTGATTATTCGCTTATTAAATTCGTTATTTTTTTCTAATTACAAAAATATAGGGTTCGAAAGGTCTATTTGTTATTGTTTTAGAATAAAGCTAAAAATAAACTTTTTTTATAAAATTTCCATCTAGTGTCGTCGACGAAATTAAATTTACAGTTTCCTGTAAATTACGGTACTATAACTAAAAATTATTCTACTAAAAATTTATATAAAATTTACTTTATTTTCTAATATATAACATTCTAACATGTTAAACTTTTCGTAATCCATCTTAAAAAACAGGATTTTTAAAGTGACACTTCTGAAAATTTTTGAATACAAACAAGTGTTGCTATGTTTATTTGAATTAAAAAAAAAACATATGGCACCATCTATCAATAATTTATTAAGTCATTTAAGAATAATATTAAATATTAATAAAAAATGTGAAATAATGCAGTCTATTCCAACTTTTGTATAATTACATATATAAATTAAATAGTTCAACAAATATATTTGTTTCAAATATCAGAAATATGTTTTTTTAATTTTTAATTATAGTACCCTAATTTACAGGAAACTGTAAATTTAAGTTCTTGGAAAACACTAAAAGAAAAGTTAATTTTTAGCTTTACCCTATATTTTTGTAATCAGAAAAAAATATCGAATTTAATAAGCGAATAATCAGTGGTTGTTTCCATTTAAAAAAACGAACATTGTGATAATATCTCAAAATCTAAAACTGAAAAAATTTTTTTGACTACGTCATCAAATTCACTGTAAAAAAGTGTCTATATAATGTCGTAGTTATAATACTCCAGCTATAATAATAACCAAGATAATTGCGCTTGCTGGTTTTACGATATTTTCAATTTTGGCCTCTAGGGGAAAAACAAAAGACGATAGCGCTATGAGGTTTTCGGTATTAGCAGTTTCTCGAAAAACGAGATCATGACATGTTAGCTACTTTTTTTCTAACTCTTATAGTTTCCGAGTTAGCCTATTCGGACATCGAATTTGAACCACCCTGTACAGTGATGGACCGAGCACACTTCCCTGAGGAACTCCGGCACGTATTTCATGTAGTGGTGAATAAGCGTTTTCGTATTTTACTCTAAAATATCGATCAGAAAGATACGATATTAATAATTGACTGTACATTGATGGTAATATTTGGTCTAGTTTGTAATTTAAACCATCTAACCAGACTTTGTCGAAAGCTTGTGCAGCATCTAGAAATACGGCGGAGCAGACTTTATTTTCTTCCATTGCTATTTCGATAGTATTCGTTATTCTATGCACTTGGTCTATTGTTGCATGTTTATTCCGAAACTCAAATTGATGTGTTGGTATTAGGGCTTTTTCTTCTATAACAGGTTTTAGTCTTTTTAATAGTAATTTTTCAAGCAGTTTTGATTGTAATGGTAATAATGAGATTGGCCTATATGATGTAACACCTGTGGGGGTTTACCAGGTTTTGGTATTTGACACACATTATTTCAGCAACTTTCCATATGCTTGGGAAGTATTTCTGTTCGCCCGTTTTGGTAGATGTTTCAATGTTTCTCTATTAATTAGGTCATACTGATTTTTTTATATTTAGTTTATGTATTTCATAATACAGTTCTTTCATTCTTAAACATGGGGTATATTACTCTGCTGACCACTTTGAATTACGCTAGGAACACTATTTAGCATAGTTGTTGGACTGTCTGATGTAAAAGATTCTTTCAGATGTTCAGCAAGAAAATTAACTTTTTCTTGATTGCTGTTAGCCCAATTTCCATTATTATTTCGAATTGGAAGTGTATGTGTTTTTGGAACTTTAAGTTTTCTTGTTGCCTTCCGTCAATCTATCGTCAGTAAGGTCTTTTCAGTAATTTTGAATATTATTATCTTTGTGGCTATATGTTAATGCTCTTAATTCGGCTATTATTTTATTTAATTTAGTTTTATGACTAGGAATTCTATTGGTTTGCCATTTCTTTCTCGCTTTCCGTTTTTTTGCAATTTTGTCTCTAATGAATTTAGGATAAATATTAGATTTAGGTTTTGGTGTTAAAATTGGTGTTGAGGCCCAAGCTGCGTTTTGTATGTCTTTTAAGAACTTTTCTACTTCATTGTCAATGTCTTCGTTTTTCATCATAAGAGCATTAAGATGAATTTTATTATCTAATGTTTGTTGAAATAGATTCCAATTAGTGAGTTTATTAGTGAGTGATAAAAAGGGTTCTTTGTTACATACTTTGTTATTTAGAGTAATAATTACTGGTGAGTGATCTGAGTTCAGCCCTAACTCTTCTTCTATGTTTACGAAGTTAAGCGATATATTTTTCGTAATAAAAAAATCAAGCAGGTCCGGAATTTTACTTCTATCTATTGGCCAGTAAGTTGGCTTCCCAGTGGAGAGCACCTCACAATTTAGGGCCACTATTGCATGGTTCAGTTCTTTTCCTTTTTATTTGTCAAGCGAGAACCCCAAGACATATGTTTTGCATTAAAGTCTCCTCCAAGTATAAATTTGTTGTCAAAATGTAGTAGAATTTCCCGATAATCTTCTCTTTTGACATTATGTCTCGGTGTTATGTACGTTGCTCCTACAGATATTAAGCCATTAGCAGTTTGAACTTTTACCACTGTAGTTTGATGTCGTTCAGTACTAATTGTATTGTTCAAATAGTGGTCAACATTCCTTTTAATAATAATTGCACTTCCACCTCGAGCCGTACTCGGGTGAATTGTGTGATAAATATTGTAATGGTTGATTCGCTGGATGATTTTGTCCACAGTTGAAACATTTAGTGTTCACCAGCACATTTAACACATCTCAGATTTTTGTGGCAGTAAGCTTTGGTGTGGCTCCAACTTAACACCTTTTGCACTGGGGCATTTTTTTTGGCTTTCTGTACTCTTCGATTTTGACACACATTCCTAATATGTTTGTTATTTCATGGATTCTTTTTACATCCTCGGACGGTGCAAAATCCGAGATGTATAAAGGAAGAGACTCTTTTGTTCTGTATTTCAACATTTGGGTTACTTTACAAATGTTATACTTGCGCTCCATTAAGAAATCTAATTTAAAAAAAACGAGATTTTTTTACGTATCTTTTATATTATAACGCAAAGGTATGGCGGTTAGTGTGTAGAATGGTGTAGACAGTAAAACTCCCATATTTTTACCTAAAAGTTAGAAAAACTCATTAAAACTATTTCTGGGTTTCCCTTTACATTCCACGATTAATAAAAACACATCACTTCGGCATCCGCTAAAGCGAAAAGATGTATCCCATAGTTGTTGATTTTGAGAGCGTTTACTATCGTGGTACTTGTAACACCTGATCCAGGTGAGCAGCTTTTTTAGCAATTTTCAACGTGCACCTATGATGGTATACTAACTAGTGAAGATTTTATTACACAAGTTCAGAAATTATGAAAATAAATTATTATTTATTGATATACAGAATACATTGATTCAAGCACCTACCAGCTTTCGGTAATATACTCACTTCACAATAATCGAATTGCTGCTAATTGTGTTAATTAGCTATATTAATGAATGTATCAACATCTTTATATTTATTGATATTCCAGATTTGTTTATCTAAAAGTTCTATTAAAGTGCTTAAAGTTAATTATGTATAAGTTTAAACGAATATATTCTTAATCTTTTAATGATAATGTTGATCATGAAAACGGGCATAATAGTTATTTATATTACAAGTGGGCTAGAAACATAATTGCATGAGTGTGGAGAATTGCACGACGAGGTCGTAGACCGAGTCATATAATCACACCGTACTATTATTATGCTCTAGCCCACGTGTGATATACAACATTTTATCTACGACTGCTAAAAATTACTTAAAAATCAATTTCTTTAAAAAGGTCTATTTTGGCATTTATAAAAATATTTTGAAATTATTGTTGACAATTTTGAATTAATTCCAGTTTCAATAACATGTTTACTCATCTGGAATAAGTGTTTCGAAATGTCAAAACATAACAATTAATGTTTATAACAAATAGTATTGTTTCTCTTTAAATAAGTAGCACTTTTTCTTTTGTATTGTTGCTTGTTTCAATAAATTAAGTCTGTTCTAATTGGGCTAAACATCCGTTACGTAATGAAACCAGTGCGGTAATGAACTTCATTACGTAACTCAAATCACCTCAGACGAGTGTGGTAATGATGACTTATCCAAGCAGTCGTAGATAAACAATATTAATTAAAATTGTAGCATTTAACAACCCAATTTAATTTAATTTTATTTTTCTGTTACAGGTTTCCATATACTTTTCTCCTTCATCCCCGATATTTTAGACCAAACTGGAATCCGTCGATTAACTATCCCCATTTGGTACAGCGGCCTTTTTTACATCGGTATTCTAGCACCACTTTACAATGTAATCTGTCTTTCTGATTCGATAAGCCAACGTTTCCCCGTATTAAACCGTTACAAATTCTACGTTTACTCTGCGATTTGTGCCGGAAGTTTTCTTTTCAACGTAGTCATACTTACCAGCATCGGCGGTTTCTTTGTCGCCTCTTTCAAACGATGTTCAAAACCGTTCGTCGTTTCCGGATTATTTTTACTTTTCAATACGGTTCTATTTTTCGCGTATTCAAGTCGACGCATATTAGACGATTATTTATTTACTTTTGGAGTAAATCCGGAAAAATATTGGGTAACGTTTTGGAAAACTTCGCCTATTCTTGCTATTTCCGTATTTATTTTCGTCGCTTATAACCACGAATATCGATCGTTTATATGTGGAGGGAGAGGATATATTCCGATTTTAGCGTATCTTTATGCAGTTATGACGTTGGCTCCGGTTTTGTTAATTGGAATGTATCGGTGTTGCGTTAATCGAGGAAAAAAGGATGAGAAAGCTATTGAAAGTAATGAGAAGTGGAGTCCGTTTAATCCTATCGATAAAGAAAATAGAAAGAACTTTTTTCCAAATCGGGAAATACGGTACAGGATGACGACGCTCAAGTGTAAACATCGATGCAGCCGTTCCTTTCCGGCCGAATATCAAAAATGGTGTCGTATTGAGCACGTTAAACTGGATAAGTTAGAAGTTGAATGGAATGCCTATGTTGAAAAGATGGGAGATGTTTCAATGGAGAGTACGACAATGGACGAAAGAACTGTAACAAAAAGTGTGATTTCCAGTGATAGTTGAATGTTATGAAGACTTTTAATATATTATATACAATATCTACGAATTTTGTTTAGTAAGATATTTATCTTTCTGTATACCATTTTGATAGGAAATATAAATTTTTTTCTGTCAGATTTATTATTATGTTTGATTATTTGGTGTATTGGTGATTATATCTTTATAATGATGGGGAACAATAAAATAAACCATTTAAATCGAATCGTTTAACCTCCAACAGTGATAAATAAAACTATGAAAACATCAGTTAAAGATTAGCACATGGAACGTGAGGTCCGTGTATAAACTTAGTAAAATGCATAATAATACATACGAAATGCAAAGACTGATGCTCAACATCTTGGGAATCAGTTAAATAAGATATCTAGGTTTTGGCCCAACAACAACAGTCCCAACAAAGTGCAACATGCCTGTACTTCTCTGGTAATAAAGATAATCATCACAGACATGGTGTTACAACTATTGTCTTAAAAGATATTATGACGTCCGTCATCAATTTTGTCCTTGTCTCAGACCGAATCATGCTCTTATAAATACAAACCAAGTGAAGCAAACTAAACATAATACAATAAAAAAATTAAACAACTTTATAGGACAATAACAGTCTTCCCTATTCCATATGCTCCTTCTATTTCCTCTTATTACCATAAGTTTACATCCTGTATCACATCGTTATGAAATTTGAGTTTCGGTCTCCGTCATCTTCATGTTTCGACGGTCTAAGCAACATTATTATTTTTGTCGGTTCATTTTCGCCCAGTCTCATTACATGTGCTACTCATCTGAATCGGTTGATTTTAATAAATCTAACCACGTCGGCAACTGTGTCATAAGTTTTCTTAAACTCCACGAAGATATAATGACAGTCGATATCCCAACCCAACCCAATATCAAGTACCTGTCTAATAGACGAAAGGTAACGAATAGAGTTATTTGTTTTTAATTCCTTCTGGTATGGTCCCTGTATGTTTTATAGGGTATCAGTCGTTTGTTAAGTATTACCGACAGGGTTTTATATGCGCAGTGGTATACATCTCCTTTCTTGTATACTGGGCATACAATCCCAATGTTCTATTCCTCCGGTATTAGGTGTTCCTGCCAAACTTATGTCAGTAGTCTGCAGAATTGTATCGTGAATACGCTGTGTTTAAAAAGTTCCGATCGTAAACTATCAGTCTCTGGAGATTTATTACTTGATAGAGATTGAAAGACTTTTCTCGCTTCTTAAAAAGGTTCTTTTGAAGACGTTAAATTCTTTGATTCACATTCGGTTGTGCATATTATTATATTCTTGTTGTTCACTATCAGAGAGTGATAGTATACTAAAGTGGTCCCGCCATCTTCTCAGTATTACACTTTTCTCAGTATTTAGTCAGTTTATCAGTGTCCTTAATTTGCTTCACTTTTGGATTAAAAGGTTTTCGATTCATATAAGTTCCATCTCTTCAAGCTCTCTATTGCTCCTTCTGTTTTTGTAGTCTTCAATGTTGGCTTTAGTTATTCTCCTTTTCATTTTACATTCTTCGTAGAGCCACTCATTTTGCTGTTCACTTGATTTTTAGCCCAGCACCTCTTCCGAAATTTCAGCTAGTGTTGTCTGCAAGATTCTCCAGGCAGTATTTATGCCAGTAGGACCAGCATCCTCATCATTGCCCGGTTCTATCTCTGTTCCGCCCTAGATGTAAATGTATCTAATACTTCAACGTTTTTCAGTTTCCCGACGTTATATCTTGTTATCGTTATCTCCACGTTTCCATTTCTTGTATTAGATATTTGATCTCTGAGACCCAGCAACTAAATAGTGATCGGAGTTGATGCTAACGCCTCTATAGCATCTACAGTCGAGTACTTTGGATCCGTGTCAAGATGAGATCGATTTGATTCTTGGTTTGTCCATCTGGTGAGATCCACGTTATTTATGTAGGAAATATGTGTTGCTAGTAGTAGACGAATATTCCTATATTACAAACAAAAAGCCTGTTTGTACAAGCATCAATAGTACCACGAATCTCTGATTTGCCAAAAATTCATAAACCAGATGTACCAGTGCGATCTGTCGTAAAGGCAATTAACCCAGTAAAATGGATTACCTCACCTACATACTAGGTTGCGAAACATCTCACGGAAGTATTGTTAAAGATAATAGGCATAATATTTTGCAACAAAATATTTGTTAATTTACAGACTTTTAACACATCCAACTATCCGAAACCATGTCCGTGCTTGTGCATCATCGAGGATTGAATTCTTACACAGCTTTCCTTCGTTTTCTTTGCCGGGACGTTTTTTAGAATCTCAAAATAGTGAAGTCGTGATTACGCTTGCCTTATAGATCAGTGCATTACGTCTGATAGTCTGGGCGTTTTCATTTTGGAATGATCAGACATTTTTGCGATGCCATTCTGAATGAAACTGTTGTGAGTTCTGCAGTTTCTTCTACATGAGAATGGTATGTTTGTAATGGTACTATGTATTCACCAAGGCGGAGACTGGGAGATTCTTTTCAGATTGAATGAAGACTGTGTCTCATCTGTTGTATGGGACACAGTTGAAGGAGCTAAAACCTTAACAAAAGTAGAATGAGGGTCGAACAGATAAATCCCAATCGCGCTGAAGCCACTCTGTATATTATTTACTAACAAAGTTCTTATCCACCCTATTAATAACTACACGGTAGAATTAGTGGATGCGGCGATCAGAGCAACAAACTATGTTACTAAATTATTACTTGCAATATTTCGAAACTTTATTTTTTCTTCTACAGGCGATTACTAAAAAACAATGAAGTTACTAACAAGAAAAAACAACCTCTAAATTTACTTACATTATAGTTAAGTGAAATCGGGACAGTTGAAATACATCAAAACAATTCTTGACTATTAAACTAAAATTAGAACTAACACTAGAAACTTTTGGGTTTTGCCGTGCGTCTTTTAAGAAAAGGTTTGACGTTTCGGATGCCATGTTGCAACCTTCTTCAGAGTCACTTTCGGTTTCGAACCAGTTTCTGAAGAAGGTTGCAACATGGCATCCGAAACGTCAAACCTTTTCTTAAAAGACGCACGGCAAAACCCAAAAGTTTCTAGTGTTAGTTCTTGTTTTAGTTCTAATTTTAGTTTACTTCATACCGGCCGTGAAGGCCTTCGTACTTAAATTCTTGACTACTCATTAAGACAAAAATGTCAAAATTAATTAAAACATTACAAGATGGATGAAGAGTCATGAACTTATAACGTGTATGAAACGATAAATGTGTCGAAACAATTTTTGAACCGGTTTGAAAACTTTGCGTCTGCGTAGCATCCACTAATCCTAGCATTTAACGCGCAAGAACAAAAATAAAATCGCCAAATTTTAAATTTGAAAAGTTAACAAAAAAAAATCCTTTTAAAAACAACAAATTAAAAATATTAGACAAAATTAAAATGTTAGTGAATTACCATCTGTAGGATTTACATTAATTTCATTTCTGGGTAAATTCTGGGTAAAGAGTAAATGTTACTTATATTACTGATCTCCGTCTTAAAATTAACAGTATTCTGATTTAAATTAATTTGATACATCTCCAAAAACAATCTATTGTAGTAATTCGCATCAGTGTCGAGAATGATAGGATTTTCAAAATCAAAAGCATGATTACAAGTGACCATATACTTAGCTAAAGCACAATTAGTTATTTAGTGTTAAAATCACTTTTATGTGAGCTGATACGTCTCTTCAGCCATTGACCAGTAACACCAATATAACAACCAGTATAATCTTTACAGTTGATTTGGTAGATGACGTTCGGTTTGTAAAGTAAAGGATCCAAATCTTTTACTTTAGAGAAAAAGTCCTTAATTTTTAACGGATAATATTCGACAAGTCTTCTATCTTCAGGTAAGTACATATATTTTCAAGATATTAATTATTTTTTTGGAAAGATCATTAATTTCCATTATTTTACTATACTTAGCAGGTCTAATCGAAACAGCATAAAAAATACTAGGATTTACATTATATTAGCGGTAATTTGAGTGAAAGTGGAAAACAGACCCTTATTAACAATCTTTAACGGAAAACCGTTATTGATAAAAACTTTCTTAAGTTCAGAAAGAGCTTCAGCTTGAAATATAGTATTACAGATTTTCAGAATTCAGTTTTTCATACCTACAAGAGTATTGATCTTATGATGAAACGAATGACTTGAATAATAGTTAATATAACGACCTGAATATGTAGGTTTGGTGTACCAATCAATGACTACAGAAGCATTCTCCCGAATAACCTTACAATCAAGAAACGGTACAAGATTGTCCTTTCCCATTTCCACAGTGAATTGAATATTTCTATTAAACGAATTAAAGATTGCCAAAATGTGATCAGCACCATCCTTGGGCACACTATGATAATATCGTCAACAAATTTTTTAATGAACGGTAATTGGACCGCGTTATACATCAGTTGACTAAGCGACATTTTATCGTTTTTAGAGATTTTCATGCTGTCTGGTAGGTAAAAATGTAACTTATCTTAGAAAAAATGCAGAATACCGAAAGACCTAAAATACTATTTGTTTTAAAGTATAAAGCTAAGCGCCAATCACGTTATACGATTTCAAGTCCGATTTGCATCATACGTCTAAGAACCGACTTACCATTAGATACGACACTTAGATACACCAAGAAATTCTACAATAGAAAAAATAGATGAACCTACAATTTCGGGCCAGTGTCGTTTTCTAGATGTTAGTATAAAATTAGAAGTTTATGTCTTTTATTTTATATAGAATTTAAGTCTAACTAGTTTCGGCAATTGACCATCTTCAGAGACTCTACAAATAGATTAACATCTCTCATCTTATTCATTTTACAAACGACAGCGGTAGGTAGCGCTAGTAAGCATATGTTGCATATTTTTATTGCACTAAAACTAGAACTATCACTAGAACTAACACAAAACCTAGAACGAGAATCATTCGGGTTTAGCCGTCTTGAGAGACGTGGGACTAAATGCCGATTGTTTCTAGTTCTTGGTCTAGTGCAGTGGTTCTCAAACTATGGTACGCGTACCACTGATGGTACGCGAGAAGTTCTCAAGTGGTACGCAAAACAGTTTATATTTGCATTATCATCATTGTT